GTGCATTCAGCTTATACGAATTAAATTATATGAACTAACTGTTGTTTTGACTGAGATGACGTCAATTTTCGTCACATGACTCTCTCATTTGTTTTAAAATAACAACAAACTGCGCTGTTTTCACGGAAACTCAATCGCGAGAATGGAACATCAGACAAGACGTGAATTTAAGCATTATAATAAATATTTAGCNAAAAAAAAAAAAAAAAAAAAAAAAAAAAAAAAAAAAAAAATTACTGAAAGTATCGCATGGCAAAGGTGTGCAGCATACAGGTTCTCCTTATAATTTCATTCATATTTGGGAGTTGATATCAGTAATTATCATTGTGTGGATCGTGCACTACATGAAATTTTGAAGAGGAGACGTAAATCAGAAGGCGGTCCATTTGGGCAATACTGCTCTTTCTGCAGGTAGCACAGCAGCACAATGAACCCGCTGATCCGGAAAGATTCGAATAATTTCGAGACGACTCGGCAATGCAGCTCTTATTTTCTTTATTCCTGTTGCAGCGCGTTTTTCCATACCCCGGCGGAAATGACCTGACCAACTTCCCGGGTTAACGTCAGCCCGGGATAACAAATCGAGGCGACTTCCGTTTCAAATTTTGATCCGCTGATCGATTTCCGACAAATTTAATAAGGGAACTTGATTATTCCTGCACGAGAATCGAGGATCGGCGAGGGGAGTCGTTGTGGATTTCATCTCCTCCTACGCTTAGAAAAGCATCCGGGCGACGATGCACAAAAATCGGAATAAAAATATTGAAGAAAAATCGGAATAAAAATACTGATATTTCGTGTCGAGAGACATTGGTCGGTTTTGAATGGGCGTGTATACGTACTATACTGTGGTGCTAAGGCAGAACGCAGTCCTGCCATTTTATTTTTTCAAAAGGTTCCGAAATAATTCCGATTTCTGGAAACATATTCCGATTTGCCAAAGTTCCGGGAAAAATTCTGATATTTTAAAGAATTCCGGGGAAAAATTCCGAAATACACCCGGATTTAGTTCCGAAGATCGTCAAATATGATAAAAAAAAAATCCCTAAATTTGATCAAATAAATGGTCAAACTGGCGAGAAACCGCAAACGAGGAAATTCCAAAAATAGCTGAAAGTTCCGGGCAAAGTTCCAATGATTTAAAAAGTTCCGAAGTTCGGAATCAATTCCAGGAAATAACAGCTCTGGAAGAACGTCGTATGAAGATTCGACTGTTGCCAAATTTCCTTTGATAAAAACAGAATTTACTGGGAAAATTGTGAATATTTTTTTCCAAAATTTCCACACAATTTAGTACGCGATTCAATCTAAAATATCCGAGGGTTTCAAGGAAAAATATGCGAAAATTCCGTCAAAAATATATGTTTTATCAAGGGAAAGGCAACTCTCGAATGCTCATAAGGAGTTCTTCCTTAGCACGGCAGTATACCGCCTTTGCCGTCGTTTTGGCCCCCGACCCGACTCGACACAATGTATCGAGTACCTCGCTTCCCTATGAGAAAGTCACTAGCGGGCTGCTTTTGAATCTTCGTAAGCTCCTCAAAAAGTAACTAATGCTTCAATCTTTTAAATTTACTGATTTTCCCCGATGGTCGAATTTTTAAATGCAAACCCTAAATTAAATTATCACCTTAGTCAATGTTGGACGTGTGGACATCACAGTTGAGGTCAATTCAAGAATGACTAGATTTACGTTTAGGTAAACTTAAAGAAAATGGAAAAGCTTTCCTCGGAAAGGATGCGTCGAGGAAAAGTGTTTCTCAGAAACACTATCGCTCAGAGCGATGAGCGAAAACCTTTCTCATACCTTTCTTCGTAAAAAAATGCCCTGATTTTCCAGGAAACGTATCGTTTCCTGATGAGAAATAAATCCCGGGGGTTCAAGTTTTTCTTTCTGGAACCTTTCTGGGGCTTCACAATTCCCTGACCTCCACGGTTTTGGAACACAAAATATCTTAACGTCTTCCTCGCTTTTCACAGACTTTCTTCAAAGAAATACCTTCCATGAAAAATTGTGGATATTGAGTACTTCGAGATAGGGAATACATAAGGTCCCGATCTTATTTTCGCGTGACATGAAAAAGCTTCAAGGCGTAAAAGCTAATTTCTCCGAAATTTTTGAATTCGGTGATTCATGGCCGTTGTAAGCCTCTTATAACTCTTTTAAAACTTTTCGTGATGTTCTTGTGACGGATACTTAGGAAAATAAAACTTGATGATGATGATTTTTGGACGTAAATCCCTACTGAGGAGTCGGAGGACCCGCAGTTTCCTTACTGTTCCCCTGATTTTTCTGTAGTAAAGACTGTAATACACTCCAGAGTTTAGAGGAAATACATAGTATGATTTTTTCTTCTTTCAGGTAAAACCGTAGCCCGAGTCACATAAACAAGCAAAAAAAAAGGTCTCGAAGAAAAAAGAAAATCAATTCTTCGTAAAAAATGCACTGATTTTCAGGAACATATCGTTTATTCCTGATGAGAAATAGATCCCGGTAGTTCAACACTTTTTTCCTCTTTTTTTTCCATTTTTGGTCTTAAGCACCAAGAATTTGGACTTTTGAGGCCTGGATACACGCTCAAATTTCCATCAATTTCCGATCAAATGGTAACTGATGCGCAACAGCTACCATCAATTTTTTGCGGCCTGCAATTTGATGGTAGATGATGGAACTGTGGGTCTCATCCGACATCTGATTTTCACACAACCGTGCTTATTTCATGCTTATTTCAATCAACACGCTGTTTTAATTAACTTTAGATAACAAATTAGATAACTCTTGACAGCCATTTTAGTAATCATTTTGATCGGAAATTGACGTATTTGAGCGTGTACAAGCCTCAACGGTGGTTTCAAGGTAATTTTACGTGAAAAACGTCTCTCAATTTGAGTGCCCGCTACAGTTTATAACAGACCATTTCTCCGCTAACGGCTCGCCGAGGATGGCTCTAGTACCTGCTTACTCACTTTGAGCATAACTTCGTCTGAGGAAACCTATCGGAAAACAAGATCAAAACAGCGCGGCAAAGGGCAACAATCCGGCCCTTTCAAGCATCCTCCATCTAATTTGAATGATGAAATGACTTTGCGAGGTAGCTCCCCCCCCCCTCCAGCGGGTTCCATCCCTTCTATTTGGACAAGCGTCTTCTCTTCCCGTACCTCCCCCAAACTCAGCCACGTAGCAGAGTTTCATTCAGGGGTATTATGAGTGGCTACAACTGTTCGGCCCACGGAGGTTCTATCTGCGGCTAGCTCCTCTTAAAGCTAGTCATACTTACTCATACGTTATTGTTACAAATAAAAGCAGCAACAAAAATATACAAATTTTTTATGACCAATATTCATTTCACTTTCTACTTTTTTGCAGAGACATTACGACCAAGCAACCGCGGTCACGAGACTGGTAGCGTGCAGAAAACTAAGAGGGTTGGCATGTGCATGAGCGGAAAATCCGCATAACTATGGCAAAATTGCGATGGAAATTGGGTGTTTTTTTCGCATAATGGACCACTCGACAAGGTACGAATTTCCGCATTCTGATACATGCTTCTTAACCAAAATGTTACGTATAACACGATGCACACAACGAAAATTACCAAAATCAAATCCTTACGAAGATATATTATGATTCCTGATGCGTGAATTCAAACCACCCGCTCATGAAAACTCAATGGTCTGAGTGATTCACATCGCGCGCTAAACGTTATCATGACAGTCTCTGCGATATAAAAATTTGGCAACTTCAATCTTGACGCTTTGGCTCAGCTATAGCAAATTGCTAATAGTTTGAACAACACATGGTGGGAAATGAACATAGCTCGAATGAGAAGCTAGCTCTAACCGTTGTAGTGCGCAATTTGACTCACGTAGAGCTTTGAGTTTCTTGTGAGCGGGCAGTTCAAATTCCTCGTAACCAATATGAAATAAAAACGTTAATATCTTCGTTAGGAGTTGGTTTCGGTAATTTTTGTTGTACGAATCGTGGTTTACGTGATATTCTGATTAAGAAACATAATATATCAAATTGCTAATATTCGTACCTTGTCTAGTGGTCTATAGGAGGGAAAATCGAAATCATGATCGCATATTCACCACAAAATTCCAACGAAAATCATACGTTTCCCGCAAAATTGCGAAGAAATCCCCATTGATATAGTTGGAAAGAAAAAAGAGAGAGGAAAAAAAGACTCAAAGTAACATTCAAAGTCAACCTGAAAGAGTAGAGAGTCCTTCAATCAAAGATACTTCGATCCATCATCAATAGTTGGATCACGAATCTGACGTGCAACTATTCGAGCACTTCGGTTATGTGGGATGGTATCATACCTCAATGAAGGCGTTTTGCGAGTCAGTCCGACACGGCTAAGGCCGCTCGAGTAATCGCGCTGACTGTGGCGGGTGAGAAATTTGGTTTGCAACGATGATTGTAATTAATAACACAGTCAGTCATGATGAAAATGAATTTTTTCGAGAAACTTTCAGATATTTTTTTCGCAAAATCGCATTAATATAGAGAATTTAATGGGAAATCCCAGCAATTCAAAGAAGGAGCAAAAAAGCCATCACTTAGGCGACTTTCGGCAAAAAAGGATTTTTAAAATGGGAAAACTACGAACCTCCTACATCCCTAACCGTATTGGAGATGGTTAGTTGCAATGTAGATCGGAGGTTCATTTTCTGGCTCATCCATGAAATGAAAGCATTCATCTGCATTCATATTGGCATCGCGTCACATAAATTGTTTCTGTTAAAAGCCAAAAAAGCGAATTGCTTGTTGCATAAAATAGTCGAACCGAACTACATTCAGCAAAGGAGAACTGCTTGATATGTGTAAAGGCACCTTACCTTTTTTTAAAATTTATCTCTTCTTTTATCTTATATTTTTATTTCCTGAAAAATCCGTTCTTTCCGGCTGAAAGAACACTAACGCAAAGAGACACGAGAAAATCGTTGCTTACATAGAAAATATATCACTGAACGGTATGAATAGGGGTTCCTACCTGTCATTTCACCGATGTCAGTCATGAAGATCTCCCGAATAGCCAGTAATTCTTCCGAAGAATCCATGTCGTCATTACCGAAACAATCGTTCTCAGGCCAGACCTCGCTGAAAGGAAAAACCAAACTTATTTTAACAGCGTTCAGTATGAACATCAAACCACGACAAAGGCTTGTCATTTCTGTCGTTTGCCGTATAATAATCTCAAAAACTACACTCAACTGTATTGATCTTTCAACTGCACGGAGAACAGAATCCACATGATTTAAATTATTTTTTAAAGTTTTAATTTCATTAATTATTGTAGATTTTCATGGTGTGTTCATTGCGACGTTTTAGTGGCCTTATCCTAAGCTACGTCACGCTGAAATTCCGAAATTGATCGCCCTTTCTGGTCATCTTCACTTCCGCCAAATATTTTTGAACCTCTTCCTGGAGGTTCAAAACAACTTGCCAAAACCAAAATCGAAGACTTTCGGGGACTTTTTAAGGAGTTTCCATTACGGGAATTAAGGGTTTTTGAGTATTTTCCGAAGATTCGCGCAAACAAAAATTGCTGGACTCGGAGACAGTTTTAAAAATGGAGATTTCCTGATTCTGAGCCTTCATTATTTTGCTACGTAAGTAGAGAGGAGGCACTGGAAATTAAAGCCACATTCACGTATACTAAACGAGTTTTGATTCGCTTCAAAATGTTGTCAAAACATAAAATATTTTATCGTCATCATTTTGTATGGAATATCGAAAAAATGTTGAAAAAACTTTTTTCTGACTGAAATTGGGTAGCAGCCACTGGTATGTTTCACTTCCATTTCAAAATGATTCTGCGGCTATATCGCAGGTGACTGAGAGGAGAGCACCACCACGCGCCTTAAAATGGGGGCACTTGGAGCGCCCNGGGGGGGGGGGGGGGGGGGCGGCTCGAAACTACGGCACAGACAAATGAGCTGTCGATTTTTACGGAGACAAACGCCACGGCGCACAGTGGACCGAGTCAATAGGAGGGGTCGGACAAAATTTGGAAACTTCAAACGCTTATAACTCCGGTTATACGAAACTTTGAGGTTCTAAACGTGGTTCCGTTGGTTTCCTCGTAGAATTACCTTTTAGAACCACCCCTTAAAATTAAAACTCTGACGATAAGAACACCAAAATTTGCAGTTTTAGTAAAAAATTTCATGTCCGACCTCTCTGATTGACGTGATCCACTGTGCGGCGGCGCTCATCTCCTCGATGTCGTCGGTCGGAGCCCTTCAGTACTTGAGCTCTCGGCTCGGGTTTTGGGTGGAATTGAATTATCCTATGGCGGAAGCCTCATCGCCGCTCACGGCATCGTTTTTTCCTGCATCCGTCGATTGTTTATGAGTTTCTTGATAATCCTGCTACCGTTCATCATCCACGTACATCCGGCCTTCTCGCCTGACAGACGCAATGGAAACTTGAACGTATTTCGTCGTCGTCGTGGTCTTCAGAATTTTGGTTCTTGAACCAAAAAAAATGAAAAATTGAGGAGAATGTATATTTATGCTTACCGAGCGGCTCTGAGTAAACCGACCGCTTGATCTACGTCACCGTTCTTCAGTAGCGAGCGAACTTTTTTCATGGCCTCGACCCTGGAACAAAAAACAGGAGAAAAACATTAAGGAAGGCCAAGTTAATCAACATGAAAATGAAAAACCTTGACGAATAACGATACAAGCTGGGGGATTTCGCCAGTGTGTTCACAAATTTTCAGTTTTTTCAGTAAAAAATTCATATCGTACTCAACAGAGGGGAACCAGCCCGGTTGAAGTGTTTTCAAAATCGTGCAATTTCTTTGCCTGAAAAAATATATTAAATATATGCGCACAAGTATAATTTACACGATCTTATCCTGTGATGTTCTCGGCATTTTCTTAACTAAGGGTGAAGATACACAATATTAAAAACACTTGAATCGAGTTGGTTCCCTTCTAATAAATGCAGTCCATTTTGAGATGAAGAACTACTGTTTTCGGCTCCTTTCATATTAGTTCTTCATTTTAATATGAAAAAACCGACTATTCCTTCCTGAAATATTATCCTGAAGAAGGAGAATAACTTTGTTTTCCACGGAAAAAAACCTGTTCAATTACGTCATTTATTTTCAAGTTTTTGTACCTTTTCCCCCGACCTATCATGCCAAGGTTCGGGGTTTTCTGTGCCCTCCGCACATGTCATAAAACTACCTAAATCCTCCTAAACTTTCTGCAAGACGTTTAGACACCCCAACCTGGGATCCAAAACGTCACTGGAAAAAAAAGTCGCTTGTATCTAGAGTCCAAACTCTTAAAAACATTGACAAGAAAAAATACTCTTGATTCAATCGGATTTTTACTTAAATCGAGAACCAAGCCTCTTAATTTAAGCGGATTCCTTTTTGATTCAAGCAGAAATCCGATTGAATCAAGAGTATTTTTTCTAGTCATTGTTTTCAAGATACTGGACTCTAGATCCAAGCAACTTTTTTTACCAGTGGTATTTGAAGTTAAGGACGGATCCAAACGCAAAACGAGGCAACTTGGGCCCTTTTTCGATGGTCGGGTCAGCCCGAGGGCTTGTTATTCTAGGAAAGCGGCTCCATTTCCGTTTACTGAATCAATTTCGCTAGCGCTGAGGCATCACCAGTTAACCCTCGCTTCTAATTTGTTTGCCACGGGTCAACAGAGAGTGTTATGAATACGTCGTTTAGTCTCCTCGCCGTCTTCCCTTTCCCAACTCGATCTCCCAACTTCCACGAGCTTCCCTCGTGGTCACAATGAAAATCCTATTACACGCTGGAGCTTGTGGCTTCAAATCCTCGAACGGGACTTCCAGGAAGAGTAGAACCTTTGGGAAAATCGGGACTCTAGGAATCCGAATTTCTCTTATCGATATGCGAGGATTTAACTGCTCATAACTGCCACGCATTTTGCTACGAGCTCCTGTAATAGAGAAGTTGAATGTGTGAGGAATTTGCAATTTGACTGTTGATTCTTTTGTAAAAGTTCGCGAGAAACACGATGGTGCCACTGGTTTTCTCTGAAATCAACTCCCCAGCTCAAAAAAAGCTCTCAAGTTGAGGCCAAAAAGGAAGGGATATCCCACGCTATCCTGAGAGTCCACCTCTACATCAAGACAAACTCTCTATGCAAAGATAGGGAGCAAATACATTAGCAGTGATACCGTGTTTTCAGTTTTAGAGTCCCCAAATAAAGTGGCAGGCCTGTCAATGTATTTGCTCCCTATTTTTGCATGGAGAGTTTGTCTTGATCAGTGGCGTGGCGTGCTTTGCGATATATCGATTGTTATGCCATTTAAGCCTATGGTAAAGAATCGATTATTAAGGTGTTAGCTACGAACACCCTGTTTATTGATCCTTTTCCATTGATTTAAATGGCATAACAATCGATAAATCGCAAAGCACGCCACGCCACTGGTCTTGATGTAGAGGTGAACTCTCAGGATAGCGTGGGATATCCCCTCCATTACGCCCTCAACTTTGAGAGCTTTTTTGAGCTTGGGAGTTGATTTCAGGGAAAACCAGTGGCACTATCGTGTTTCTCGCGAACTTTTACGTAAGAATCAACAGTCAAATCGCAAATTCCTCACACATGCAACATCTCCATTCAAGATGTCAAAAGAAACAAGCTGGCAAAAAGTCAGTAGTAACCCAAATACTTCAGAACCTTCTGAAAAGAAAATTCCGTACCTTTAAGTGGCGAAATTGAGGAAATGTCGACGCAAATCGCGAAAAAAATAACGTAGCTAAGAAATTCGAAGCTTACAATTAGTGTAGGCCTGAAGATCAACTGTCTGCACAAGGTTTCCGGGGTGAGGGAAAATCTTGACTAGTAATGGCAAATTCCCTATCTTTTTCCTAACTCTAAAAAATATACATCCCTCGATTGTATTCAGACAAGGTAACCTCACGATCCGTGCGGTATACATTCGCCAAAGGCAGAACTTCCTTGCAAGCTGGTTATAGAAAAGTCTTAGTTCTTTTCTCTTCAGTATCAAAATGCCTCCAAAGAATCTTTAGCTCGTTTCAACCATCCGTTTCCACTAACAGGATCGCTCCAATTTTCCTTTACCTAGACGGAAAAAAGTGTTAGCGGTTAACCCGTAAAATTGTGGAACTACCCCAATTTGTTGGATGATATGGACATTTCTCATTAATTTTGGTGGTACCGCAAAATTTGGGTTGGTAACCTAATTTATTGGGGTACTGCCGCAATTAATTGGGATTCTGTAACAATGGAGATGTTGCATATGTGAGGAATTTGCGATTTGACTGTTGATTCTTACGTAAAAGTTTGCGAGAATCACGATGGTGCCACTGGTTTTCTCTGAAATCAACTCCCAAGCTCAAAAAAGCTCTCAAGTTGAGGCCAAAATGGAGGGGATATCCCACGCTATCCTGAGAGTCCACCTCTACATCAAGACGAACTCTCCATGCAAGATAGGGAGCAAATCCATTGACAGGATGCCACTTTATTTGGGGACTCCAAAACTGAAAACACGGCAACCCTGCTAATGTATTTGCTCCCTATCTTGGCATGGAGAGTTTGTTTTGATGTAGAGGTGGACTCTCAGGATAGCGTGGGATATCCTCTCCATTTTGGCTTCAACTTGAGAGCTTTTTTTGAGCTGGGGAGTTGATTTCAGGGAAAACCAGTGGGACCATCGTGTTTCTCGCAAACTTTTACACAAGAATCAATAGTCAAATCGCAAATTCCTCACACATGCAACATCTCCATTTATTGGAAACGTCCGCATAATGCAACAACCCCGTGATCTTTTTTTTCAGGGTCGCTCTGAAAATCAATTTCAGTAATCAGCCCGCACATCTCTGAGAAAATTTCCCAACTTTTTAGATTTTTTCAAATTCCCTGACTTTTCCAGACTTTCGATGCTCATTTCCACCCCGCCTGAAGACGCTCGCCATGCAGCTTGGTAAGAAGGCATTCGTCTCCTTTGTTCATTGCTTTCCCTTTCCATTTTAGCCCGCAGACCTCCACAGGGTGTCTACTAAAACAGGTTAGCCAAAAATCAGTACTTTTACAGTCCTTTTTCAATACATTCCCAAGAAATTATGTACTTTTTCAGTACCTCCAAATGACGAAATTCGAAAAATGTCAAAACTTTGAATTTCTCGCTCCCATTACAACAAAAATGACAACATATAAAAACAAATTACGGACCTTCTTGCGGAATTTCCGCACTTTTTCAGTACTTCCAGACCACCCGTAAAAAATCAGTAATCTTTCCGGAAAGTCTGGAAATTCCGGACTTGTAGACGCGTTGCTCCACCTTCAGGAACATTTTCTGACTTTCTAGGTTTCTGAAAATTCCCTGACTTTTCCAGACTTCTCATGACTGTCTCCATTCTGCTAGGAGCAAGGTATGAATCTTGGTGAGAGAATGCGGGGGAGGGCGGCAAGAGGGTGGATTTAAGTTGATTTTCTATTCAGTAGGGTGCGCTTGAGAATGAAGCACCGCTGTTGAGCTTCCTGAATAAACCGAGTTGGAGGGGTGCGCGGCTGAGGGTGCGGGCTGGGTTGGAGCGGCTGTTTATCTTTATGATTAGACACTATATTTCGTCAATCTCCGGCGAATTTGCTGTTTGCCGGAGAAGTTGGCAAGTTTCGAGCTTTGTCACGTAAACCAAACATGACTCCGCCTTCCTCCCACTCTCGTGACCGGTTCCCGCCGACCTACTTCGCCAACTTCCACGACTCCACCAAGAATATCACAAACGCTCCAACGTCAACTTCGCCGGAAACGCAAAGAACTGATTTGCGATGACGAGATATGCTATTTCGCATGGTGAGATCGATCCAAATCGACCGAAGTTTTTCAGTTCGTCAAACTACTGTTAAGCTCAGTATATTGAGGCGCTTGGCTCTCTCGACTGGGGGCCTCTGAGGGGAAAAATGCCTTCTGAACTACGAGGCTCGTATGAACGCGGTTTTTTTCTTATTGCAACTTACGGGCTAATTACTGAAATTGATAGACAAGAGGATACAGAAAGAGGACAAAGGGAGAAAGGAGCGATCCTATTGGCGGTAAAAAATTATGGACGGCTCCGTTTACCGTATTTTTTCAATGGAAGCTTGACTTCCAAACAAGCTCGTTGGGGTTACTTCGTGCAGTTTTTGCTGTTTTACGACTTTTTGGTGAAACAAGCTCAATCTAGAAAAATTTTTTGAACGTTAATTAAGGCTAAGGAGAAAAAATCGAATTCTACAAAGCTTCGAAAGGGTAAGAACAATGCTTGAAGAAATCTGTCTGATTAAAAATGTTAGGCATTTCACTTTATATGGTTAAGAGCATTCTTACAGAAAATCCCAAATGGAGCAGTTAGTTCCTCTTTCAGGAAAATATATAACCCGAGCGAAAACTTTAAAATGTTGGGATGCAGGTTTTCCTCTGCTCTTTACTCGAAGAGGCTACAATATTTTCCACGTTTTGAAGCCTGGTTGCTCGAGGGAATATTATCCATACTTTTTTCTCCTTTTTTTTGACGGTGTTTTTCCGGTCACGATACAAACCATTGCGGAATGCACCGCCGGGCGAAACAAAGGCCGAAGATAATAAAAAAGCACGGGAGGTG